TCTGCCTTTGAAGAAGACAAGGCCCCTGGATATAGAAAGACACAATAGTGCAGACATTTTCAAATTATTGAATTTCGACTATCCTTCAATTTATAATAAATGATAACACAGTACAATTTCGGTTCCTATATTTTTATAAATATTGATATAACATTAAGGTTTTGGATAAAAACATTATTCTGCTTTACACAAGTATGAAATACCATCATTACATACATGATGGTTTAAGTACTTAAGCTTTTTTAAATTTATAGTTCATAACTATTACTTTTTACAAACTAATTAGAAAATATAATATTAAAATAAATATATTTGTCTACAAAATAAAGTAGATGTTATTGATTAGCTCTATGTGAGGCTGGATTTGAATTAGTTTTTATCATACTTAAGTTTGAGTTTGTATAACTGAAAGTTATTTTGTAGTGTGTTAAAAGTTTACTATAATCATTAAATTAAATGTGTAAGTTATTATATTGTTCTTTTATTAACCTGTAACATGGCTTATATATTTTTCATTTCGGTTACTACGTCTTCTGTAGGCAGTCATTAAATAATGGTAGATTTAATTAATCATTTTATTAATATAACAATATTATTAGATACAAAAAAAATATTATGAAGTACACAATTATCTTAAACACGGTAATACAATTTTTAAAATAGATTTGTGGTCTCGGTTTAATCTCTTCTTAACATTTCAATAATTGGTCATTTTCTTCCTCATTCTTAACAACTACCGCTGATGGCTGTAATACAATAGTTATCTGTTAAAATTGTAAATAGGGAGATATGGTAGGTCACTGTACTGACACAATAATATTGCGTAACAATTTAATTATAGTAAAGTTAAGGAAAATAATAAAAAAACTTGCATAAAACACACAAAAACTTTATGGGATATCTTTGTATTTCTAAGTAAAGTATCTTAAAAACATGTTTGATAATATTATAACTAAGCCAAAAATTATTTAAAGTTTTATGGTAACAAGGCTTAGTCATTTCGCACACAGTATTTGATTCAGTACTATGAATAAAAAAATCTTGAGCAAACCTATATTTAGACTCAGAAATCCAAATCTAAGTATGTTCCTACTTTAAAAACAATTATTTATTAATGAAACAAATCCAAGACCCATGAAGGGTATGTTTAGTGCTAAAGTGTAGTGCTGACTACAATATAATAACAACTAAAATAGAATAACTATCTTTAGATTGCTTCTATGTATATTAAATAAGTTATGGCAATGTCATTTCCAACATTTAAAATTAACGTTGATCACTTGAAATGGTATAAATTTGAGCAATTGAAAGCTTATATATTTGATCCAACATACCTAACATGATAATTTATACTTGTGTTCTGAAATCTGAACAATTAAATTAAATTCAACTTGATCAATTAAAATTAATACTTCTAAAATTTCATGAATGGAATTTGAAGTTAGAAAACCTAAAAATATTTTTTATATTTAACATTTTTAACCAATAATTTAATTATTCTTTACAATGTCGCTTCGATTTAATCTATTACATTTGACTTCAAATTTGCCATCAAACAAACAAACTTTGTTAACTATTTTTCTAGACACTGCTTATTCCTATTTATTTACTATGATAGTTATTATATTTCTAAAATAGTTTTAATAGAATTCAGTTTTTAAGAGTGTTAGTAAAAACATAGGTAATATTGTTGTTGTGTGTTTGACCTCTGAATCACTTAAAAAGGTTGCAATAGTAGTTTCGTGGCATCTAAAAAGTACCAACACTTGCACTTACACAAATTAATAAATATATAAACACAAATTTTTACTTTTAATTTATAATTACTCAACAAAATATTATATGAAAACATTGGTATAACCTTTAGTAATATTTTGAAAATTTAAGATACCTATCCATCCTGTTTAGTTTGAATCCTTAGACCATTCTACCATCTTTTTGTTAAGATAATATTCTTAAATTTTGTACAATATATCCAGATGTTAGGTATCCCTTGTTTCGTGCTGAAACATAATTAATATTTTTAAGTTTCTGTCGCTCATATACACCACGGCTGGTCGAAGTATAAACTCTTAATTGGAAGTTATAAACAAAATACGTAACTTACGATTTACTAATAAATAAACTTACTACTCACCTTTAAGCGGCCCCATTGCCAGATGGGTTTTAATAATTTTCCTCGCTATGCTTTGGTTAAGCATATTTCTATATTAATCTTGCTAATTATTTTCCATCCGATAAATCATTTTTGAGATATTTTCACAGTTTATCTTTTTTTTTAATATTCTTCATTTTATTTCAAACGTCGACCATTTTGTTTTATTAAAAATATTTTGTTTATATATGATAAAAATTTTGACAATTAACTCTTTTTATAAATAAAATGAGTCAATTGTCACGATATTAATAGACAACAACTCACTAGGTTCACTCCCTCCACTTATCAAGACGTAATGTAAAATTTCTTAACAGAATACCATGAGATTCCAAAAATTACGTGAGTGACGAAGGGAGCGCTGTTAGTGCGTAGTGGACTCACGGATTAACAGTGAGTTACAGAATCGCAGGGCAGATCCAAATTTTAAAATAAAATTGTATTCATATTTTAAATGTGGAATATAAAAAAAGTAACTATTTATACCTTCATCCATACTAATATTTTTTTTTTTTAGCAGTTTGAAATAACTTTAATTATTTTCAAAATCTACGACGAAACGAAAGCCTTACAAATTTTTCAACAATAAATAATATTTACTAACGAAAATTCCGATAAATGCCAACTTAAAGAAAAATACTGGTCAATTTTCTGTCACTGTGTTGGTATTGTTTGCGAGAGCATTCGTTTTGAGAGTGCTCAATTGTGCGAAGCGTTGCTGTAGTTGGAACACTCAACGTTGAGCATTATGCCGCAAAATGCGCTCTAGTGCTGTAATTGGAAAACGCACTATATTGATCGCCTGATCATATTATATTCTATGATCTATCTGATAGGGTGGACTAGCGACTACAGCATTAATTAAAACGTAAATAAAACTTGAAAACATTGTTTTCTTGTATGAGAAAATATAAGACATTATATTAAAATTGACACCGCACATCTAAAAATAAAACAAAGATGTTCCAAATTTTTAATTTATTTTTTTATTTTTTTTTATAATTTTATTGCCTGGTAACGAGACCTTTAAGCCAAGTCTTATTTTCGGTCACTAAATTTCACTTATTTTCCTTCATTTAATTTCACATGTTATTCTTATTCCAACATTCCACTTGTTTTCTTAAATCTTCCCTACGGTATTTTTAACGTATTTATATAATGCACTATAACACCTTTTTGTTTTTGAGCAAATCACACAACTGGCGGCGGGAGGGATCACTAACTTCCATTATTTCACTTGCTAATAGTAGTCTATTAAAAATGAAAATTTGGTTTTGGCATTTAAAAAAAATATGATTCATATCTGCGATCTCGTTAGTGCAGAAAGATCAAACATTGTTATCTATAATATTAAGTTTAGCGAGGTGTGCGGGTGTAGTGTTGTGACCAAAACGCAATCTGTTGATTGTGGTAACGAACTCACGACTAACTGTATCCAACTCATAATCTTCATACCAGGGTCTTCTCAGTAAATTTTCTTGTATACTTCCATACCATTTTCTTTTAAGTTTTTGATCTTCTTTCCATAAATTTGCCCATATATCTTTTATTGAATTATTTATATTATAATAATAATCGGTCATAGGAACATGTACCACATTTCTGACATTAAGAGTGTTAATCCCTTCATATGCAGCTTTGTCTGCTATTTCATTACCAGTAATACCTTTATGTGAGGGTACCCACATAAAGGCAATAGTTACATCATTCTTATACAACCGCAAGACAGTATCTTTAATTAAATAGAGAATATAATTGGTTTTAAAATTATTAAGAGTAGCATGCTTAAGACTATTTAAAAGACTCAAAGAGTCTGTCAAAATTAGAAAATATTTACAATTGTTTATAGAAGTAATCGATTTTAAAGCTGCAAAAACTGCATGTGCCTCTGCTGTAAATATGGAGCAGTTTTTATCTAGAACAAAGCTTTGAGCAACATCTTTTTGGGAATCATATACCGCACTTCTCACAAAATCATTGCCTTTACTACCGTCAGTATATATAGTATAGTACTTGTTATTTTCTTCTTTGAAAGCCAGAAAGTCTGAATTATTTTCAATTGAATTTGATAAAATCGTAATAGTATGTGTGATACAACTGTATGAATGAGTGTAACACGACCAGTGAGAATGTTTTTTGATGTTTGAATAATGAGATTGTATTTCTGTAAAGATCTGGCACAAAGTTGGAGATGTACCTGTCAGAAGATCATTCGGTGAAGTGAGAGGACCATCTATTGATTGATTTGGTGAGGTATTATCCTGTTTATAATTTGTAAATTATTTGATGATAATAGTTTCAGACAGTATCTTTCTGTAAGCATAAGTCGTCTCAATATCAATGGCATAATATTAGTTTCGACTTCCATGGCCCTTATGGGAGTCGAACACATTGCTCCTGATATGATCCTCAAAGCCCTGTTCCAAATTTTTAAATGCAGTGCATCATAGACAATTGTATGTGGACAGCACCACGACCTTCCATTTTCCAACACTATCTCTTGTCTGCCATTAATCACGGAGGCGGTATCAAAATATGGTCAGTGATAGGTGTACAAAACTTTAATATTTTGCTCCCTTAGCATAGCATTTTTATTTATATATAGTATATTATTATGGAAGGTCTAGCTTTTATTATCTGTATAAGCTGTACATCGATTATAATCGTCTGGATTTCGCAGACAATATGTCATTCTAAATATTTGACACAACAGTAGATGTTTGAACAGTTGATCTAGAAAAATAAAATTCTGTTAAACGAAATTGAGCTTTATCTGTTCCGCATGTGCTCTTTTAGCTGAGTCTGGTCGCGGTCAGTCGATGCCGGATTAATTCCTCGTGTTGTTATGGCTCTTGGTGGTGAAGTGAATAACGACAATGCTTCGAGACTAGCCTCTCATAAAGTGAAAAAATGCCCAGTTAATAACAAAGTGAACGGTAAAAGTGCGGCCGAGAATGTGAACAAAGGTAAAGTTTTCTCTCTTTCCAAGTTATGTAACATCGCTCTAAGGTACTAAGTTGATTTTATTCTTAAATATATCCGTACAAGGATTTCAATTATATTATAAGTCATGTGACTAGTACACATGTGATCAAACTATAAAAAAATATAGTTGCAATTGTAGTCTTGTAATTAAAAACATTCGCACATACATACATATATTTAATTGCGGTAAATTCAATAATATGTTTCCCTAAAAAATTTAATTTACTTAAATATAAAAATTTTAAGATACGCTATGATTTAATTAAATTTTTCCAACATTACACAACATTAATTAATATTGCTAAAGGTAATGTAAAATGCTAACACCCGATTTTTTTTGTTGTAAACTAATATTAAATAGTAAATAAAATAGTAGTTAGATACCACATATCAATCTGAATACTATGAAAAATTCAAATCCTAATAATTTCACCATTAAAATTATAAACATTACCTATTTAAGGGTCAAAGCTCAGAGGTCATACAGAGATGACTTTGGAAGAAGTTTTTTTTGGAGAGGATGTGTTGAATAGTATATAATATTATTTCAAAGTTAATTTGATGTAAAAGTGCATGTTTTTAAGTTGAAATCTTATGAGTATTTTGACTGATAAGTGTCTAGTTAGAATTTACTAAAAAAATATTTGAATTTATTTTTAGAAATAGTATTCTATTAGATTTGTCTTGACCACATGACTTGGTTAGTCAATAATTTTATCACATAATCAATTTTATACATATGAAAATAACATGTGTATTGCATAAATTGGACACTAATAAAATTCAACTATTTCAAATAGTTGATCCATGAGCTAGCGTTATCTTAATTAACACTTATTTGGAGCATACATTAACATTATTATTGTCTCAATCTTGTGAAATTAATTAAAAAAGAAAATGTTATAATCTCTTTTCTAGGTGCAGTATAGGTTATACCTTGTCCTTTCTGTTAGATTTTTTATTTCCAGATTTAATTTAATTTTTTATTGAATTATACCGTAATAAGGCCTTATTTTTATTTTATTACATTAAAATTCATTCAAACAACTTTTATTTTAAATATCTATCTGAAATAGATACCTCTCCTCTATTATGTACTTCAATATACATATTACACTTAATGTACAGGAAATGAATGTATAAAATTTCATAAAGAAAGAAAAACATAAGTAATTCATCATGTGTTGCTTGACATTATTTTTTGTCTCATCCTAATGAGATATAAAACATGTGTCCATCATGTGGAGGTAAAATTATATTTCTGTGACTTCTACTAAATATGTCTCATACTTTTCTATTTTGTACCAGTTGGTCAGATTAAATATTTTTATCAACTCCATTACTAATTTGTTATCAAAATACAGTTTTGTCACAATTAGGCAACCTATATTCTAAATGAAAAAAACTTTAATAGGGAAACTGAATTAATCACGTACAAAGAGGATAATTTTCATATAAAATAATTCTTCATTATGATATGTTATAAATGTAATATTCTATGGTAAATTTTTGTTAGCATTAGCCATACATAGTGATAGTTTATTGATCAATATAATATTTCAAGATGGAAAAAGATTGGATAACTTTGTGACAATTCACTGGTTAATTGTTATTGGTTTCTAATAATAAGGTTTATAACTCTAACTAAATATGTAGAATCGTGTTTTCATAATAAACATAGTTTCAATTGACAGCTGATTTACTTGCCAATCAGTGTTGTCAATCATCAAGTGATCTTTGATTAATTACAAAGAAAACAACTCCAAATTTTATTCCAAGATCCCAGAGCGATAAGACACAACTTATTTTCTAAAGCATAGAACCTTCGGTTCTAAGTAGTCTCTGGTGTGCTTTTTAATACCTGTACGCTTATGGAGTTGGCTCGGTGACACCTGCGCAGGTACCAGGTGAGAAAGGTAACTAAAAATCAGAGTTACTTAAGTTAAATTTTAATGACTGATTTTTATATATATTTTGTAAAATATTACTCTGAAGTGAACTCATACAACTATGAGTATGAGCGCGAGAGCAGTACCTATACATGCGTTTAGGACAATGATGAAGATGATTAAGAGACAATCAAAGTATTTCATTGATTCATCATAATTAATTATTTTTTATACTAAAATTATTACAATTGATATCTTTTTTAAAATAAAATCCTCCACAAGCGTACAGGTATTAAAAAGCACACCAGAGACTACTTAGAACCGAAGGTTCTATGCTTTAGAAAATAAGTTGTGTCTTATCGCTCTGGGATCTTACTCTATTTATCTATTCTTCCAGTGCAAAATTTTCACTTATAATACCACAAGAGCTCGTGTGGTATTCGGGGGATTATTTTTCCGACCCAAATGTCGGCCAATAGAATTGCACCATGAGACGAAATGTACAGTTAACAAATAAGAATTTCATAATGAATAAAACAACTACTTAATACTTTTCTTGAAGCAACTACCAGAGAAAATTTTCAAAAAATTATCAGTATAATACCATGTAAGTTGTACCACGTGACGTCGAATGGTGCAATTCTATTGGTCGATATTTGGGTCGGAAAAATAATCAGTGTAATGTACACTTGAATACATGAAAATCATTTTATAGTTTTTCGAAAATTAAATGATTAAACTCGTTATGACCCGTTAATTAAACTGTATTTTGCCTAAAATGTGTTGTAAGATCATGAGATTTTGTAGCTTTGTATTAGTACTACTGCCACGTTTTTTTTAAATGTTGAAAATTAAAACGTGATTGATGACGCCACGGCTGTACGAAAAAATGTTTGGCCCAAACTTTTTTGTCTCAGAATCGTTTTTTTTCCATGGTCGGACGCGTGTATTTTTAAATTCCATACTATTTATATAACAATATGTATTCCTTGGTAACATACGTTTTCTTGTGACAGTCATGTGAATTCTTTTGTACAGTGTAATTGGCGAATGATGAAGAAAACCTAACGTTTTTCCGCAGGTTTAATTAAGAAATCGCAAGATAAAAATTAACTTAAAGCATTCCATTGAATTTTATATGAAATCAATTATTTATAATACTTAATAATCGTTATCTAAATTGTTTTCCTTCTGATACTGACACAGGTTCCAATTTTAGAAGATAAAATAGGAATCAATAAAAAAAATATCCTGTTATCCTCGCATTGCAGTGTCATTATTATTAGCCATTTTATTGAACTAGGAAAACATATGTATTGTTATAGGACTCTTCGACGATAACCTTAATACTACGTGGAAACGTGTTATTTTGTCAACATACTGATAATTTTAAATATTGGTATCACAAAAGCCTTCCGTATTACAACATAATATATGTATAATATAATGTCCTTTATTCTAAATAGTTACGGATACATTTCTGCGTATAATTTGTAATTTTTCTCTACGAAGCAACAATATTTTTTTGGCGGGATTCAAACCCGGGGATTGAATTGATGCTTTATAAAACCAGTCCTTAAAAAAAATATATATTATTAAACTACTACTACTACTTACTAAAAAAATATTTATTATGGAACATAAGATACATGTATCACTTATTCCACGTCATTAAATTTGAATTTGTAGTCATCCCTACTCATCGGCAAAGAAGACAGAGGGTGTAGGCCGAGAGAAAAAGCCGGCGTAAAAAACTCTCGGTACTCTTTTAAAATAGCAAATCATCAAACAACACTTATTTTAAAACAAATATCGCAAATTAATTAGAAGTAGCCTGTCTAGAACTAGTCCCAGGCCCTTTTATAAACTAGATCATCGTTAACTTTTTACACAGCTTTTCGTTAATACATTTCTTAAATTTATTAAAAGGCAGAGATAAAAGAGCCTCTGGGATTTTATTAAAGAAGAGTATCCCTTTTCCCAAAAAAGAATTACTAACTTTAGATAGTCTAGTACGGGGAAATTGCAGCCTACGTTTGTTCCGTGTATGTATTAACATTGTGCGTATGTTCTATTCTAGTAAACTTATCACTATTTTTGTATACATACATAATATTTTCATAAATATATTGCGAGGGAAAGGTAAGTATATTAATTTCCTTGAATTTATCTCTAAGAGATTCCCTACATTTTAAATTGTAGATTGCAGTAATAGCCCTCTTCTGCAGGATGAAAATAGTTTCGACATCAGTTAGTGAGCGAATTTTTTTAACCGCGTAGGCTGCAGAACTAAGTCTCTTCGCCAATCCGTTAATATGAGGGGACCACTGAAGTTTTGAATCCATGGTGATTCCGAGAAATACAGTTGTATCATCCAGATTCAATTCCTCACCGTTTATAATTGGTCTAGTATCTATATTATGGATCCCATAACCCCCCCCCCCCAGCAATACATGCAAACGACGGTCATGATGATAGTAAAGTACAAAGTTATTACTTTTTTATGGCTACTTTGTAGGTCGCTTGCTTACTTATGACTGGTTCTTGATTGATACTGAACGATAAGTCGAAACTGATAAGGTGTGATTTATTTTTTATAATGATAAAAAACTGTATCAAGGCAGGTTGTGGTTGTTTCTCACATGGAAACATGGCTGCAATATCTTAAGAATATATCGTAGTATCACAGATAGCCAACACTACGTATATTAATTAAATATTTTAATCAAAACCTATTTCTAAATGCCATTTGCTATGCGTTTAAATCGCTGAAACGCTTTGATAATCTAGTGGCAGGAGATGTATTAGTTACAAGGAAAAATAACATTTAATATTTCTGCACTTTGTTCTAAGTATATATTCAATTTCATAATAATGAAACACTATTGCAATTTTTAAATGATAGAATAAGTGTCAACAACTGTGTACTTATATAAATATGTAATATTTACAATTCATGTGCTAATGGACCCAGTCGTGATACACTAATTTAATAGAAAAAACACACTTTGTAATATTTTAAACTGACCTAAAAAGAGTTCACTGTGTATAGGTTTATTTAGAGCGTCTTCGTTTCAAGTTTCCTGAAGTCTCTAAAGGAAAACTCTATCGCACTAGACATATTTAACGCTTTACTAGGGGTTTTAATCGTCCAACCACCCATAGTTCACCGGAACAGGATGTAATCAATTAAAATTACTTGAGTGTTAAATGCTGTCATAGAGTTTTGTACGTAAATTACACAAGGCATTTTTTGTTATCATATAACCTAAACGAGCGTGTATCGATAGATCTAACTAATATGAACGGTCTAACAAATCTATATATATATAAATGTAATGTTGGTTTGTGTACGCTTTAAAATCTCAAAAAGTTCTGCACCGATCGAGCTAAAATTTTAGCATGATATATAATCCGGATAAAGGATTGTTTTTAACTGTTTTTTTATGATTTTTTTCCCACAAGTATTGCAAAATTAAACTTATATGAAATGTATTCTTTGTTTTGTTTATTATTTCTCAACCATTCAATCACAATGTGCCACTGCGAAGCGTGGCAGGGTACAGCTAGTATGTTATAAATTAAGGACTAAAGACTTTTTTGAAAGGAAATACAAATGCATGTTCATGCATTGATGACGTGATGCATCCAGGTGTGTTCCATTATTTGGTCTAAATTATCATCTAATCGAATGTAATTATAACGGTATATTTAAGTTACATAATGCACCTCTCGCACTGTAACCTTTTCCATCTGAAATGTAAAATATTCCGTTTCGTTTTTAGTTCAAAACAAATTCTTTTATGTTCTTGAAAAAGGAGAAGTTATTTTTTTTAGTCTTACGCGTACTAGGAATCCTAGTTTGATACTTTGTAAACTGGAAGAGCTATAACAAAAGATAAGTGAACTTGAAAATGTTCATTCATTCAATATAATTGTGTTGAATTTACTTTTAAATGCAAGCGTCGGCTAACAGCCAACGTATTATTACGTAACATGATTTAGTTGGTTGCCATGCATTATTGCAGCAATGACCTTACCGTAGCGTTTTAGAATTTGTTTACAGGAGATCTTATTAGTAACCAGTGCGTCATGTATCAATGAATTGGTATCATATAAATAAGTTGTGGTCATTGTTGATGCTGCTAGGCGACGTAAGCGATAAATTACTTCTTGATTGTTGTACGGTTGCATGATACTCCTAATTATAAATAGGTACACGTAAAACATATTTATATATGTATATGAAGTTAAAGTAAACATTATTCCACTTCAGCGGGGTACGCGACTAAAAATTATGCTGGATATGTTACATACAAGTTTGGTTCAGTAAAAGACAACATTAGAAACTTAAATGAAATCGATGTTTATGATATTTTAATCAATATGACATCAGTAACAATGAGTTATTCAAAATGTCAGTCGTGTCAAAATTGTACTAACGCAAAATAGTTCTAATTTAAGTAAATCAAAATATGCGTAGTGCAATTCTTCGAAGATTCCGAATAAAAGGTCAAGGGAATAATTTTCCATAAGTTGTTAGAGGTTAAGTTTTCTGTGTTCGTCGCTGCATGACAATAGTCGTTTCTCTTGCATAATTCATTGATTGGTCTCTTGTTCAGCCCGTCGTAGTCAACAATTGCTGTTTATCTAAATTTTAAATCAATGGCTCGTGTTTTGACGTCAATGCTTGCATTATGTCTTCTGTGAACTTCATCATAACCTCTACAACATAAGTTATCTCTATCTAAAGATACTGTATTATAATTTTGCGGTCTTGATGCGATAAGTCATAGCTGGAAAACATCACTATCTTAATACAAGTAAAAATATTAATAGGCTGTTGCCTGCCAGACGAAGACTTTCAATCAAAGAGCCAATTGTGATGCTCGCCCAACTGATTGTTTTTCTGACAGACTAAATTTAATGGAAATTTGTCGCATAGACTATAAAAAAGAAACAGACGTATAGGTTAAAAGACAGAAGGAAGGGACATAATGTGCCCCAAACTCATAATTCTTATTATTTTAAAATTGTACGCTGAGCGATAGCGTTCACACGCTAGAAAAAACCGTGTCAACGGCTGTTTATCGGGAATTTTGATTTAGTAGACCTATCTCGAGGCGCAGGCGTCTTGCCTCTTATCTTGTTTGGTAAAGGCAACAGATAAAATCAACATTTCAGCTCGTATCTTTATCAGTGTGTCACTTACGCAGTTTAAAAATTTGTAAATTATCTTATTAAGAATTCGTTTGTTTTAGTCTTATCAAACACACCTACGAAACTGTAGGCTGATATAGGTCACACACACATCCTTAAGGTATTATGTGATAGGGGTCTTCATGTATCGTAACGTCTCTGGTGTATGGTTGGACGAGTCGTTATGTTACGCAAATAATCATTGCGCTAAATACTTGTCTTCATACCATAATATCTTGTTCCACTTGATAACAGAACATTGTACTTTGACCAGTTTGAAATTTCTAAATAAAATATACGTATGCGATGAGCTTTATTGTGATTTTTATGACTTATTGTTATCCACTTTAAGAAGTTTTACCCAAATAATAAATAACATAAGAATTTGGTCCAGTTAGTAAGATATAAGTTGTATAATAAAACATAGATAAATTCATAATTATCTACCTACCGACGGAGCATAAGGTTTTAGCATTGGTTTATAAAATCTATTCTATAATAAGTATAAACTTATGTAAGTTGAATTTGTGTAGCGTCTATTGTTGGCGGCATCTCGTTGCCGTCTATTATTGACTCTCCGCTGGAGATAGTTGGCGTTGCGCCAGCGCAGACCACGTGTTCAGTAGTCACGGGACGAGACATGCGTGTTCGATTTCCCTAAGGCACCCGTTACCCATGCGTATTATGACCATTAATATTCATATGTATGCATGGGGCTATGAGCAGTACAATCGTTTGATCGAACATGTAGCTACCCAGTTAACTCAAATTTTATTTAGTCGGCGGTAATTTTTGGGTTTTTAAACATGTCAATTTTATATTGTTTAGTAGTTTTTGATCCTATTTAATATAAATGAATTTAAGATAAGCCTGTTTGAGTCTTAAAAGCAGTCCTTATTAAATATTTATTTGCTAATTGCGGGTTATCTCATCTTATGTCAATATGTTTTTTTATGTATTATGATATTCACGACGGCGTAATGATTACTATGGGCGTTAAACGAGCATGTATCTCGCGGCGCCATATTTAACCAATCTTTTCCTCAACAGATAAATCTGAAAAGCAGTCAACAAAAATGACCAAGGAGTCAAGCACGAAGGCTGTATGCAGTAATGGTCACGCCAACACGCAGAATGGTCGTGCCGATGATGAGGGAGGCGGAGTTGCAACCCCACGGGTGTCCTACGCCGCCGCCACTAAGAAAGCCCTGTCACCTACTTCCAGTAATGCGCCTTTACAATTCCCGAATAATGAAGGTCTGTTAACAATCACGCTATTTATTAATAAATAAGTTTCAAGTTACCTGCCGAGCCTTCCGATGTGTATATCTGTAACGGTAATATAAATCTTGACTTTCAATTGCGTTTTAATGCTTAGCTATGTGTTATTAAAATTATGTATACTAATATTATAAAGAGGAAAGGTTTGATTTTTTGTTTGTTTGAAATGAATAGGCTCTGAAACTACTGGACCGATTTCAAAAATTCTTTCACCGTTGGCAAGCTACACTATTCCCGAGTGACATAGACATGTTTCATTTAAAAAAAATAGTGATGCTTACTAAAACTTGAATAATCTAACCCAACGTGTAAAAAAATAAACAAAAAAACTTCCTTCAATCATGTGCGCTGCGAAAACTATTAATGATAGAACAAAATGATGTATTACAATTTTTCAGGACACATCACTATTCATGAAAAATGTCACGACAGTATGGGTCTATCTTTTATAGTTACAGACATACTGTAATAATGTAATAAAAGGACACAATAAGTGTCCTTTTATTATTATTTTTTTATTTAAATACCACCGCTAGAAAAGGCTCTTTAGCCGTTTCTCTTAAATAGTTTACTACTATGTAATATAACAAAAATCTTAGCCACAGCAACGCTTGGCCGAGTCTACTAGTTAATAATATACCTACAGGCTTTGAATAAGAATACATATTTAAATGATATTAGGGATACCCCACATAAACATACAAATGATTTAATATACTATGTCTTTTCTCTAGAATGCCAGAAATCTAAAAACAAGAACGAGAAATCAACTCAGGGAGATTCCCATGATGCGACCAAAGTCAATGGCGAGAAGACAATATCAAATGATAATATTTGTAAAAAAGATAAATTAGGTACCAAAGAACCAATAACAAATGGAACCAACACGACACATGTCAATGGTGATCCACAAAATAATCCACATTGTGATATTAGCAATAATAGTACTAAAATAGTTTCTAATGGTATTTCTAGCAGTGATTTGGATGAAACTAATTCTAGTAAGTCGAAAGAAAATATTATATCGGATGTAGTGCTAAACAATTCAGAAAATGGTATTAAAAAAGAAGTCGATAGCGCACTCGAAAATTCGGGAAATGAATCATCTGAAAAATGTGGAAATGACAAAAAAGATAAAGAGGTAAAAGCGGATACAGATAAAGCCAACGGTGAAGCGCAAAAAGTGGTTAACGGTGAAAAGGAAAGGGAATCGTCACCAAGTGAAGATGGCGACGAGAAGAAAGGAGATGCAGAGGTGGTGTTTATTCAAGATATGGGTTTCACTGTCAAAATTATGAGCCCGGGCGCTGAACCGCTTGATATTCAGGTATGTTAATGCACTTATTCTTAATTTACGTTAAAGGAACTTTTCTATGTAGGTACGTATGTACAACATTCTAATTTTAAGCCATTTAATTTTTTTTAATTCGCTTTTCAACCATCCTAATGTAGGGTTAGTGAATCCTTCATAATTTTTCTCAGTAGACAAGACCTTTCGTGACCCTCACACCGAACATATTTTCGTTAGGGAATCAACTATGTCCCCTATAAAGACAGTTTAACCAATAAAGAATATTTTTTTCAGGTGTCAAGTATGGAGCTGGTGCAAGAAATCCACCAAGTCCTAATGGATCGTGAAGATACGTGCCATCGCACCTGCTTTTCGCTTCAATTAGATGGCGTCACATTGGATAATTTCGCTGAATTGAAAAATATTGAAGGCTTGAAGGATGGTTCTGTTATTAAGGTGACTAATTTTTCACAAGAGGAAATTTGTATTCAATTTTAAGATTAAAATATTAAGGAAATCTTTTTATAGTGTCTTAAAGTTTTTGCCGAAAATGTTATCGCTTTGGTTGCGTACTTAGTCGTCAAAATATATCGCAGAATGTTTTCCAACATAATCCTTTTTGGGTTTATACTTATTGCTAATAATAATAGCAACATTGCAATCAAGAGAAATTGTTATGATCACATTAAAATGAAATTGGACAGTTGTACTTTAAAATTATTAGACCGCATAAAATAGCTCAGATGGCAAACTATTTAATTTATAATTTAATTAATTTAACGCTTCTTGCTGATCTTTGGATTTTTTGAAAAAAACTTGGTGAAGAGATTTAAATCTACATTGTGTTCTAGGTCGTGGAAGAACCGTATACAATGCGCGAGGCTCGAATTCACGTCCGTCACGTGAGAGATCTATTGAAGTCAATAGACTATGTGGATTCTTATGCTGGCCAGGAATGCAGTTCTTTGGCATTTTTAAATGTTGTCACTCAGGGAGATATTTTAGGTACAGTTTTATAAAAATGATCTCACTTTGAACCTATTTACAATTCATGATTAAGATTTAGTTATTTTCCCAACGTATAACTAATGTTATGGAAAATAACATAAATAATGCTTATATATACAAATTGATGTCTGAAAATCTTTATTCTAAAGGATAGTATATGAAAAAAGATACTGAAATCTGATTAAGAAATTAAATTAAATAAAAATAATCGCAATTGCAGAAAAGAAAAAATCTCGGCCTGAAAGTGTGGACTGTACGCCTCCAGACTATATAATGCCAGGTTCGACCGAGAGGCCTCTGCTGCCTTTGCATCCCGGACTCAACAAGGAAAACAAAGCCCCGCAGTGCCTTAAGGTAGGACCATAGACAAAAGATGATTGCATTCCCCTCAAATTTCCGAAACTAGAACTCAAATTAAAATTATTTTATCATATATAGGTTCTGACAACGTCAGGATGGAATCCCCCTCCGGGTCCTCGGAAGATGTGTGGAGATCTGCTTTATCTCCATGTGATGACTCTCGAAGACAGGCAGTTCCACATCACAGCCTGCCCCAGGGGATTTTACTTAAACCAGTAATTATTATTTTTATTATAAGCTATTGTAAAATTAAAAAGTGTAGTAAAATAAATAACTCATACAAAACATAAACTAAGGACCCATACTTTGTATCTACGTACAAAACGGATTATTTCTTAAGTACATACAGAATACATATGAATGTATGTACTTAAGAAATATTCCATGTACTTAACTTACGAATACATATTTATTATAATTGGGAAAGTTTGATTTTCTTATTTAGGTAAATAAAACATTTTGTAGAATCACATAAAGCTTCATTTTAATGGTTCTTAAACATTCCAAATTACAAAAATAGTTATGTACATTATGTACTGGTTAATTTATAAAACACCCTCTCATCTCTTAAAAATTTCATCATTCTAAATTCCCCAAATAGGCCAAACCTTTTCTAACTAATCACTACATCACCTTTTGAATGATAAAGACTCGCCACAATCTTACCACTACGATGTTGTGTCTTACTTTAAAACGGTTTATCCAACTCATCAACATGTGAAATTTTGCATGTCTAACTGTCTAGCAAAAAGTTTGCTTTCTCTTGTACAAGGCCCATTAACGGGTATTCCCCTCCTGAAGCTTAAACCACTTAACAATGCCTTATCAGTTATCCACCTCTCATGAGTAGAAGTCCTTACACGTTTGCATTTCAAAACATTAGCACTAAACAGCGGCTGATCTTATATTTATTCTTCTTTATTGTAGAAATTGTAGAATAAGATACCCAAACTCCTTTGCGATGGTTGCATTTGATTCACCGGCTTCTAATCGGAATAATACTGCACTTTTTTTCTTCAATTGTAAAACACTTTCGCTTCACAGAACTCATTTTGTCGAGCTTTAAGAACTTGTCATAACAAGTACAAACACTAACTATGATTTACGCACGCCACTAAGGATGCACGCGGGGCGGGGTAAAGTTGGGGCGCCGAGGTATTGGTGCGTAGGTTGTGTAAACAAAACATTGCGCGTGTTTTAGCGGACGTATTATCATAAATAATGGTCGCTATAAGCAGTTGGTCGCTTAAACCGGAGTCGCACTAAACGGTTACATTTTCTCAGTACCTAACTATGAAACCTAACTGAGTAAACATTATCGTCGTTAAAAGCGGTTAGTCGTTATAAGCGAAGTCGTTATATGTGGAATCTACTGTATATATATATAATTATTATTATTATTATTATTATTATGTAGATAAACACTAGCAGCTTAATAAGCTGATGCGCGTGTATTTGCGGGTTTTGAGAAATTATCTAACTTATTTTTAAAAGAGGTCAAAGAGGGTGCACTAATTGCACTTTCCGGAAGACTGTTCCAGTCAGCTACCTGCCTTTGGAGCAAGTTCTTTAGGGAATATTATATTGAGTTTTAAAGAACTACCCCTCAAATGTGTGTTCTTACTTAAAGTAAAGAGTTTCACAATTCCTGGATTATTATAATGGCAGTAAGGATTTTATACGTTTCAATGAGATTACCTCTTCATCGCCTACTTGTCAACGCCTGACGTTAAAAAAAAAGTTTCCCCCGTTCTTGAAGACGATGAAACATTTTGGATTATGAGCAACGTGCGTTCCAGATCCACCGAAGAAGTATTCAACCCTCGTCCGTCCACGCCGTCCCTGCTGTGTCACTCGCTCATAGAGCTGCTGAACATCGTGTCTCCGGCGTTCAAGAGGAACTTCGCCCTCGTTCAGAAGAAACGTATGCAAAAGCACCCATTCGAGAGAGTGGCCACGCCCTATCAAGTGTACCAATGGGCGTCGCCCATGCTCGACCACACAGTTGATGCCATCCGTGCCGAGGATAGTGAGTACTTTCACCACACATTACATAATTAGCGATGGATAGCGAGAGACAGATTAAATAAAGATATAAATAATACATTTTTTATTAAATATAAAATTTATGCAAAATTCAGACTTACAATAAAAACTTATACAATAACTACAATGTAATTAAAATGGCTTTATTATTACATTAAATACTATTAATTGTTGTGTTAAGGTGACTTTCATAAAAACAAGTTAACAGTTATGTCTACTAATTACAATAAATAATGAGGATCTTAAAATTCGAAAAAGTATTATTTCATATTTATATGGTTATTTGAATAGGCCGGTAACGTACTCGCGCGCCCTCTGGCATTGAGTGTCCATGGGCGGCGGTATCACTTAAAAACTGGCGGGCCTCCTGCCCGTTTGCCTGTTTATCCTAAAAAAAAACACATTTCAAGGCTTTGTTGAATTAAGCTGTTTTTATCATTTAATGACATTTTTATCTTACCCAAGCTACGTAACTGATTGTGCAGACTATTTTACAATAATAAATACAAATAGAGCGAAGTGAAGTAATATTGATACAATGATTATTCCATAAAAAATATAATCATCAAATGATATCGTGATAATGAGGTGTAATTAAATGACTCTTGCCATTATTTAAATGAATGTGTATAATTAACCTAGGTTGGTTGAGGTCCGGTGCATGTTCACCGGACTTTGAAAGTAGTTCAATGGAAAATATTTTATGGCTTAACTGTAATAATCTTTAGAATTAAATACGATTCAAAAATACATTATTTATTTGGTAAATTCGTATGCGTTATTAATATTTCTCGATTATAAATCTTGATGCCAATAAATATTTATAATATAATATTTATTTAAAAAATGCATTTTAAACACGAGAATTTACTTGAGGCAGTAAAGAGTTGCCTTGAGCTAATCCATAAAATCATGCACGTTAATCTTAACCAATACTATAAAAGTATTTCCTTACATTTCTATTTTTAATTACAGTGAAAACTGTTTATAACGTCATTGGTTATAACGAAAAACTCTCTATAACGTACAAATGAGTTAAATTTTTTGGTTTAACCCAATACCCATACATTAATTCTTGTCTCACTATAAAGAAACCTCCCTATAACGAATAAAAATGCTCGGTCCCTTGAAATTCGTTATAAAGAGTTTACACTGTATAAGACTTGAAACACTCTTTTCTGTGAACGCTTTACTTTCGCAGAAAGACTGAATGTACTAATGCTTGATATTCTAATTGAAACACCTGTGTGTTACGTGTGGTTGATGAGAGTTTTTCGTGTGTAGCGTTCTCTTCTAAACTGGGATACGAAGAGCACATCCCGGGACAGACTCGCGATTGGAACGAAGAGCTGCAAACGACACGCGAATTGCCTCGCGCCACTCTTCCCGAGAGATTACTTCGCGAACGGGCCATTTTCAAGGTTCGTAACGGGATAGAGCCAGAAATCGCTATACGAAATTATTTTCATGTTGACATTCAGTTACATAGATCACATATTTCTAGATTAGAGATACAGATATCTACTTTGTTTAAATTTCTCATTCTAAACATTTAGTGATTAGTAAACGGTATATTCGTTTAGGTGCATAGCGACTTCGTGGCTGCAGCCACTCGAGGGGCGATGGCGGTGGTGGACGGTAACGTGATGGCCATCAACCCGGGGGAAGAGCCGAAGATGCAAATGTTCATATGGAACAATATATTCTTCTCCCTCGGATTCGACGTCCGTGACCATTACAAGGATCTCGGAGGAGACGCAGCCGCCTTTGTTGCGCCGGTAGGTGTTTCATGTCCGAAAGTGAAGTTCGAATGACAATGTACAATTCCTTAGTAAAATCACATTTGATCATATCTGACTTACTTCTAGTAACTTAAACGACTTCAGGTTCTAAAATGAATAAATTAAAATCCTACTCTTACTTGCACTATTTGCTAGTTTACATTGACACAAAATTAATGAACATTAAGCAGCTGTAACTACATGCATTTAAGTTTAAAAAAATTACTTCAATCCCATTCGTACGTACGTATACGTAGCCGGCATAACACTAATTATATACATATAGCTACAATCATAACAGATGAGTCCTTACGAGAAATAATAGCAGTGAACCAGTTTTGAATACGCCTGCGAAGATTTTTGGTCGATGGATTCGAATGCAGTAACAGCGTACGACGGTGGCGTGATATATTATACTTTTTATGTTTATAATTTTTTTTTGACTTGACAACATCTTATAATTCGATGAAGCCGGCTGCACGCACGAATAAACTTTAAAGCTTGAAGTGCAAGCGAAAGCGCGGAACGAGCGACAAAGAGGCACAATTGAAATGATCAAGTTACAATTCAATTGTAATTTTCATTTACCTCCTTCTCTATATCCATACAAAATATCTATCAAACAAATAAAATTAAAAAATGCTCAACTATCGTCAGTAAACCGACTTTACAGACAACCGATTTTTTCTCATGTAAGTGACATGTATGTTTTTAATGGGAATAAATTTCTTTAAACCTAGAAATAGAAATAGAGCTTTTGCCCTATTGGTAATTTTGGTTAAACTCACTCTCTCGTCTATATATAAAACGTATTGAACTTTACAGCGCAATGACCTGCAAGGGGTCCGCGTGTACAGCGCCGTGGACACCAACGGCCTCCACACGCTGGGCACCGTCGTGGTGGACTACCGAGGCTACAGGGTGACGGCGCAGTCCATCATTCCCGGTATTCTGGAGAAGGAGCAAGAGCAGAGTGTCGTCTATGGCAGCATCGACTTCGGGACGACGGTCTTGTCGCACCCGAAGTATATGGAATTGGTGAGGTTTTAATCTGGACCTACTTTTATTATTTTTAAATTATATCAAAACGATGCCAATTAATCGCGTTTTTTATCCAATAAAATATTATTATTATAATTCATCATCATTTAAACAAATAAGCAACTCGCCTTGGTTCATAAGAAAAAATAGTTTCATAAGAAACGCCGAAGTACATGAACACCAAGGCATACCTACAGTCAAGGAGGAAATAAAAGTATACGCTTAGAAGTACAAGATTAGGCTGGAAAATCATCCTAATCACCTAGCTGTTCAACTCACCCTACCCCGGAGTATATAAACCGACTCAAAAGACGAAGAACCCTGGAGCTCAGCAGCATTGACCGAGCTAATATTATGGTAGATATTCCTAACGAGGAATATCTCCACCCGCAAATCATCCTACAACTCATCTGCTTATAGTCAGAAGACTGATTGCACGATGCGCTTTATTAAAAAAAAAAACAACAATTTATCATCACTAATAATTAAGTTTTTTTATGGAATTTCGTTTCATCGACAAATTGGTTTTCTAATGTTTTTAAAATCCTATACGACCCATCCTTTAAGAAAAGAGCGTACCAATTATTAAAAGGCCGGTAACGTACTTGCGAGCCTTCTGGCTGTGATGTGATTGTTCATGGGCGGCAGTATCACTTAACGTCAGGAGAGCCTGCTGTTCGTTTACTTCTGTTCTATAAAAAATATTTCAAATCGCACGTTTCGATTCTTTATTAGTAGTATGTGTACAGGCTATAAATATATAATAATCGTGTGATCTAACCTTCGAATAGCTGAGCAAAGCTGGCCAGCAGTTGAAGATCATGCCGCACTCGGTGATCAGCGCCAACGGCGACACGGTGGAACTCTGCTCGAGCGTGGAGTGCAAGGGCATCATCGGGAACGACGGACGACATTACATCCTCGACCTGCTGAGGACGTTCCCGCCGGACGTCAATTTCCTGCAGTGTACGTATCTTTGTATCTAGATAAGGCAACACGCGAAAATATAGCAGTGTTTGCCTATCCCTGGGGTCGTGGACCAATGTACTTTCTTTCTATGTGCGCATTTAACATTCGTTCGATCGGTGAAGGAAAACGTCGGGAGGAAACCGACTTGCCTTAGGCTCAAAAATTCGACGGCGTTCGAAGGTTGATCCTTACTTGTCTATTAGAAATGATTACGGAACAGATAAATAAATCTTCTGAGAGATTCTTCAAAAATTCTAAAGCTCTAAAGGAAATCTAATCTGAGGCAGTTTTTAATTTGACTAAATAACCTTTGCAGTGGACGATGACGAGCTGCGAGAGGACATAAAGTCCATGGGCTTCCCAATCATTCATAAGCACAAACTCTGTTGCCTCAGACAGGAGTTAGTCGATAGCTTTGTCGAGTGAGTATCTCCTATTATTCAGTTATTTTCACCTATTTTACCAAGTTTCATTCTCTTCGTGAATATTGTGTGTCGTTGGCAAACTTTTGTGAGTAAAATAAAATAAGTTTCTTGTAAAACTTTTCAGGGCTCGTTACTTTATGTTCATTCGTTACGCCGCGTTCCACTTGCAACAGCTGAGTGCGAAACGCAAAGCGACCGAACAGAAGTCAATCGAAGCTAACGCTGATAAGAAAGAGAATGAGACTGAGAAAAAAGACGGCAAGGGCCAAGAGAAGGAGAAGAAAAAGGACAAGAAGAAGAAAGAGGAAAAGGTAGAGAAGGAGGAGAAGCAATCGGAGAATAGTGAAGAGTTGCTGGATGAGACTTTGTCGGAGATCGACACAGATGTGGCGAAGAAGATTGTCGAAAGTATTACCGATTCGTTTTCGGGTGGGGACAAACAGGAGAGTGACTGTAAGTTGTGTTAATTTTTATCTTGTTCAAAGATTCAATGATTTTTGTATTTTTATATTTCTGACCTTGATATATCCAGTCGACTCTCTATAATTTAATCAATTACTCGATAAATTTAATAAATTCAATGTTAATTGGTCCTTTCGGTAATTTAAACTTGAATGAATGAAAAAGTGCTAGTCAACATGCAATAATTTGAAGTAGGGACTTTCTATAATTTGAGGTGTTTATAATGCACAGAATTGTTTTTAAATTTCTTTGGTCAATGATAGACTGTAGTCGCTCACTCAAAAAAATATTACGGACTTTTCGAAATAAACATTAGTGAATAATTTTAATAATAAATCACGAGAATTGATAGAACTCTTATTTACCTGAGTACGTGGGAACGTTAAATAAACGCATCTTATTATACTACCAAGAGTTCAGGTAGTTTGAAATATATCTCTGGTCCCTTGAGTTTCAAATTATCGAGTTTCGATCAAGGAGATCGTAAAATATGGTAATTTTACGAATAGTCCTTAAGTTTTCAAAATAATTACGTTTTAGCCGGTGAAAGATCCCGTGCGGTTGTGGCGGCGGCTGCCCGGGCCGTGGCTTCACTCAAGGAATCAGAGTTCGATGTTCGGTTCAACCCCGATGTGTATTCCGCGGGAATCAAACACGCGGCTACGCCCGAACTGCTCGCTAAGCAGCGACATCTGGTCAAGGAGGCTGCGGCTTTCTTGCTCACTACTCAGATACCGGCATTCGTACGTTCTTCTATTTGTTTTAAATAAATTTAAAAGGAATAAAAAAGATACCGGCGTCATTCATCGATGGTGTAATTCCAGGTGCGGGAATGTCTGGAGCACTCTTCGGCTCCCATGGACGGAGCGGGGCTGACGGAAGCCCTCCACGTCCGCGGCATCAACGTGCGCTACTTGGGCCGAGTGACGATGGCGCTTCGCCCCCACGCCTCGCTCGCCTACCTGCACTCCATCGCCCTCGCCGAGCTCATTCTGCGCGCCGCCAAGCACATTTACACCACGTACCTGCAGGTTTGTTTTTATGCCATTCGTGTCTTTTAGATTTCCTCGAATGCTATTGTTTTCTTTAAACGTCGTTTTATAATTTATTTATTACAGAAATACATACATGCCAATACGATAATGTCGAGAAAAATTAAATATAATAAATTATATTATATAATATTAAACACATTATATACACAATATCGCTACTGTGTATTCCCTTTGAGAACATATAAATATGTCGATAGTGTCGGAGATGAATTTTTAATTATTTCTTAAATGCGACTATTGAATGAAAATTCACGCGCCATCTGAACAGGACTGCGAGGCAATGTCGACGGGCGCGTGCGTGGCGCACTTCCTGAACTGCCTGGTGGGCGGCTGCCCCAGCCCCGCGCTTTCGCCCCCCGACTGCCCCTGCCCCCGCTCCACCCGCCCCCGGCGCCGCGCCCGCCACCGCCACCGCGCCGCCACGCCCTCGCCGGCGCCGCACTGGCACGCCCTCACGCCCGCGCACCTCTTCGCGCAGATCCAGCAGGAGCTCAAGGTGGGTGACGATAGTGACTCACTCATATCCTTTCATTCCTCGACCACTCTCTCAATATTTTTAATCGTCCACAGGCCTACTGGGGTTTCGAATTAACCGCTGAAAGCATGGACGCGGTCATACAGAAATATGGATTCCAAAAAATATCACTCCTCAGGTACGTCACATTATTGATATTACAGTAAAGCCAGTGCCCCTGAGTCTTACCGCGTTATAGGAAAGGAGTGTCACTGTGATGATCCTGATAAGATGTTTGAACAAATGAATAACAGTTAATTTGTCTCTTCCAGGTCGTTCGCCCTCAAAGTGGGACTCCAGATCATGCTCAGAGAATACGACTTCGATAACAGAAACAAGACGACCTTCACGTCCGCAGACATCATGAACATATTCCCGGTGGTGAAGCACATCAATCCTAGGGTGAGTGCTGTTTTTCATAATGTGACAAATGATTGTCTATTAGTGCTATAGATTTTTTTCTTTTAATTATTGAATATGAAAATTATAATTAAATATTCATAATTTCAAAAACCAGCCACAAAGCTTCTCCAGACAAGATGGCGTCCCTGTGACGTATCATGCTTGTAAACAAACGACAAGATTTTTACGTGTTAATTGTCATTCTTAAATTATACAAATTTCTGGCTGTATGGCCTTTCCCATTAGGGATAAATTAATATTATGATTATACATATTTCGATTAGAAACAGTCTTCGAGGAAATTAATCTTCAAGACAATACTGTCTATTACTAGAATGAGACAGGCAAAGATATTATTGACAAGAATGCTCCTTTATGCTTGATTTCAAGTGACTGACGTATAAATGTAACTATATTTATTATTGTTTTTTTTTATAAAATATTTTAATCCATAACGTTTTTTAAAGTCATACGAAATGAACGCTCGATAAACTTCTTACAATTTATATTGTAAGATACAATTCTCGAAGTATAAATACAAATTAATTATAGAAACGAAGAACAATAAAGCGAGCTTTTTTATCTTTGTTATTAACTTAACATTTCATCCGCATCCATTTGATGGCTCTTCTCGCGAAGTCTATCACCGTCTGCTTCACAAGACACTTTCTTTTTAAACTAGCGAACTGAGATGAGGAACTGGATGACCTCCAATTGTTTAAAAAAACAGAATACTCCTCCCTCAAAGGCCGGAAACGCACCCACTAAAATGGGGGTCCATGAACTGCGATCATTGCCCTATTCGAGCGTCTCGTAGGCTCATTTGCCCCCTATCCTTGGTAATTCGGATTGAACTTCACAATGCACAATTTTAAGTAATCTAGCGGCCATAACTCCTAGCTTTCCTTTGCTTCTAACAGGCCTCGGACGCCTACAACTTCTACACCACCGGGCAGAACAAGATCCAAGCCGGAGCCGTCTCCGAGGGCCACGAGCTGATCGCCGAAGCCCTGAACCTGCTCAACAACGTGTACGGGGCCATGCACGGGGAGATTGCGCAATGCCTCCGTATGGTCGCCAGACTCTGCTACGTCACCGGCGAACACAGGGACGCCATGGCCTATCAGCAGAAGGCCGTCTTGATGTCGGAGCGGGTCAACGGGATCGATCACCCTTACACCATCACCGAATATGTGAGTGACGAATTGGACCACCTTTTAAAAATAAAATATAAAGAGGATTCTAGTTTCCCCTTTTCCAAAAAGTAGTTTCGTTTCGTTTGGGCAAGAAACTCCACACTTACTCTTTTAAAATAGGTTTAAAATATTTTGTAAAATAATTATATGTTTACTCCTAGAATAAAACTACTATACCAAAATTGGCACAAAGTATTACTTAGAAATCAAGCAATGCAGCGAGAGTTTTAAAACTAATTAGAGGCATGGAAAATGTTCAAATTTAATTAAAATGTTTTTGAATCAAAAATTCCATTACAAAACTTTGTTTTTAAAAAATCTAAAATTTATCTCGTTTTTACGATCACTTCTGAATTTGTGAAATTGCAGTCCCACCTGGCCCTATATTGCTTCGCGAACGGGCAAGTGAGCACCGCCCTGAAGTTGCTCTACCGAGCTCGCTATTTGGCCCTGCTCATTTGCGGAGAGAATCACCCGGAGATGGCGCTGCTCGATGTGAGTACTTTAGCCTTATTTTCTGAACGGTGGCCAAAAAATAGTACTAACAAGGAAGGTATAAATACTTGTATACACCTAAAAACTAAAATTAAATATCAGATACAGATTAGAAATACATTTTGATGCTTTTAACAAAGTGCTGACTTGTATATCACGAGTAGTGTTCATGTGATTGATCGACATCTTCGCTACCGCAGAGCAACATCGCCCTAATCCTGCACGCGGTGGGCGAGTACGAGCTCTCGCTGCGCTTCGCGGAACGTGCGCTGCGGGTGACGAACGCGACGCACGGCGCCAAGTCCCTCAAAGCGGCCGTCGCCCGTCATCTCGTGGCTCGCACGCTCTCGTGCTTGGCCGACTTCAGAGCCGCGCTCGCGCACGAGAAGGAGACCTACACCATTTACAAGACTCTGGTGAGTGTTCCGCGAGAGGTTTAATCCACGCGAGCGTTCACGTTCTGACCGACCGACTCCCGCAGCTGGGCGAGAAGCATGAGAAGACGCGCGAGTCGTCCGAGTGCCTGCGCCACCTCACGCAGCAGGCCGTGGTGGTGCAGAAGCGCCTGGCGGAGCTCAAGCCGCTTCAGCACCCCCACCCGCATCCTCCACCCCTGCACGTGCAGCCCCCGGCCATGGCCTCCGTCATCGACATGCTCAACCTCATCAACGGCATCCTCTTCGTGCAGATCAGGTGAGCCTTCATCCCGTTCGACGAGGGGCTTCGCCCACCCCGATGGTGACCTTCTAAGTTTGATATTGTGATAGTTCACCTTTACAAAATCCATGCAACCTGATCAATCATCCTTCGAAAGCGAAAATAAACCGGACCACTTAACATATCTTAACGTTTCCTTCAGGAACCTTTAGTGGATTTTGTACTCTTAGTTTATTTGTAATATTTAAACTATAATAAACATTTAAAAAAAAACTAAATCCCAAAAAGATCATTTTAGACCTTGAGTATTATTTTTGCTCTTTGATTGGTACAAAACCAAGCCAAAACCACATCAGTTCAAATTGACTATTTGAACTATCTACTACTTAGCAGAAATAGTAATTTTTCAAAAAAACTCCAGCCCTCAAGAAATCGAGCAGTTCAAGGCGGAGATAGAGAAGAGGCAGCTGAAGGACCTGCCCATTCCGGGCCTCGACGAGCTCGCCGACGCGACTCCGGAGGCGAAGGCGTCGGACAGTTGAATCGCCATTCGTATCAATAACTCGGCTCGGTGAGACCCCCAGCGTCTGTTTAATCCATTTTATTTGTGTCGACTCAAAATCTTATTCGTGATAAGGTCGTGATTGACAATTTTTAAACCACAATTTGTGGATACAAAACTCATGTATACGTTTTATCATAACGTAAACACAATTTGATAGTGCTTTAGTTGAAAGACTGCAGCCGATTCAGCTTTTTGAATATGAATGGCAAGTTTGAGGGTATTTCGCTAATGAAAATCTTGATAATCCGCCAATTTCGGTTTAAACGAAAAGGAACGTGTTCGTTCCCGATGTTATGTAGAAATCCGAGTTGAGTTACTGTTGACGATGTGGGATAGCGGTGGACTCTGCGATTAGTGTGGTTCACAGTTAATTTTAACTCTATATTTTATATTGCTTTGAGGCTCGAATTGTTGCATCCCATGCAAGTGTCGGGACGAGATCCATCGACTTCACGACGACCGCGTTTCTTGTAAATTGCACTTTGGACATGAAAATGTCCTATTTTAAGCGACATGCGTTTCGTTCAATCGATTGAAATCATTAGTGTGCAATATTTTTTTTGTTTATTCGATGAAACTTGTACTATTTCACGTTTGATAGGGATCCATTGTGAGGGAACGACTGTTTTTTTAATATGCGGTGTGAATGCGAAAGAATGGCTCATGGATGGAGATCGTTATCAGTATTCGCTTGCGGCTTCTTTTGAAAATACTGTAGACTCAATGTTCCGGACGATCTGAAAAACATATTGTTGTAATTCAAAATAAACGCACTTCTCGATTGAGTTATATTTTTGATGAATTTTAGCCAAAGATCCAAGCAAGGTCCGCGTTTAGTGTTTTTAATCGATTCCCATATTTACGAACAGTATAAGGCAATCGAACAGAGATAAATTCGAGTCCTCGAGCGAAAGCAATTGACGATATTGTTCCTTATTATCTATGAATGTATGCCGTAGTGAATAGTGTGCTAAGGTTTGATGTAGATTTTTTGTTAGACAAATTTTGAGGAAATTAATTTGATCAAATATAATTAAGTGTTATTTTGTAAATCGCATTGTGCAATAGTGTCGACGCACGAGCGTTAGATTCGGTCTGTTCAGCAATAGCCTCCTCGCAGTCACTGACACACAGTAGTGCAATTTTCTGTAGTGATAATAGCAATAAGTTTCGGTTGTGATCCCGAGAAAGTGCGCGTCGCTGTAACGCTACCCGGTACTGGTGCTACTGCCAAAATATCACACGTCCGAGGGCGCGTGGCCGCGTCCTACCCTCTCTTTGCGATAACATTTTTTTTATATTCATCGTTGCCACTTTGTTACCTCACCTATTTGATGGGAAACCAAAATTTACAGCAAAAATTACTATTACGGTAAACTTAAAATTGATGCCATCAAGTAAGTTAGGTCATAGCTTAATGTTAGGGTAGTGTTGCGGCCACAAACTTGGATCAATACATATAATTATTAATAAATTGTTATCACCGAGCGATGGTATTTGTTTTTTTTGGGAAGTGTGGATGCCGATAGTTGGTAGAGAATCGATTATATTGTAATTGAAATGTAACCGATGAAAGTTTTGTCGCCGAGTGGGGTGAACTCGCGACGAGCACCAAACAAATACTGCCTTAACAATTCGTTTAGTTCCGATATTAGCGTAGTTAGTGCCATACGTGTAGTGAGAATAAGTTTTTTATTAATATTTCTGTTAGTCTGTGATATGGTGTAATCGTCGAGTGACTCGCCTTAACGAAGCGATGGAGCTTTTCGCTCGTAATTGATACGCTTTACTACGTTTAATTAATCGATTAAAGGTCTATAATGTGTATTCGTGTGCTGTGACAAATATAATGTATCACAACAATATGTAGAATTTTTAATGAATTTCATGCTTCGTGTGTGTTTGAAGCACAAAATTGATCATCAATTAAACGAAATGCTTTGTTTTTTATTAATTTTTAATTTGTTATACACATATGGTTGTTATTTTATTATTATTAAATATTGGTTTCTCTTGCGTTTGAGACTCTGCCAACTGCGTTGTGTAATTCTTGTCGTAACGGAGGAAGGTTCGAAGCTATAGCGATGCGCATCGTGTGGTGTTCGCAGTTGAGTGCTCTTAGATTAGCTGGTTCCGAAGGTAGGTGTAAGAAGTTGTCGTTACGTGCCTAAACTTACAATAATCTTGTTGTTGTTACATTTCTTTAACAATATGACGATCATGTAAATACGAACAACGCTGTTCGTACTCAATAAAATTCGTTTTTAAATTAATCTTGTTTTAATTATACGATATACTTAGATATGAAAGATTTAAGAAGCGCTCCGGGGTAGTTATTAAAAAGCACGGACCTGCATAGTTCGAAATTCTTGTATTTTGGATCAAATATGGATGGCGCTTTACTTTTCGTTCAGGACTGTTTCAATGAAATACTGTAAATGATTGGGTATACTTTTAATATAACAGTACATAGTATGTTGTGTACAAATCTGCAAGAATCTTATACAAATGTAATCGATGCGCATTTTTAATTTTCACAAAATAAAGTGGCTTTCTTTTCGAAAGACTTGCAGTCTAAGGCTTTATTACACTTAAAATCACACAAATCACGTTGATCTTGTAAGCTTGAAGGAATCTAGAGGCCGGCTCGTATCCTCAATGAAAACTATTTCCTAGTCCGAGGGCGTGGTCTCGGGCGCGCCCTTGGGCGGGGCCTCGGTCGTCTGCGTCGGACCCTCGGAGACCGACCGCGTTCCAGCTGAGCGCTCACCAGTTCCCCGAGAACGCCCCTTTCCGCCAGCATTGAGAGGAATGTACAGATGAATTCGTCGTAGTTGTGAGTTCGGCGGCAGTCGTCCACCTGAACATTTTAAAATTACTTATTTGTAGTACTAGTTTTCGAATGATATATATATATTCTGTTACAAAAGATTAAGAGCTTATAAACCTGTAGATTCTATTTAATATACAGACCAAAAGAAATCATAAGGAAAAGTCATCAATTAAGGACCTGAAATGTTAATTACAATTAACATGTTGAGGCGTAATAAAGGTTAAATACCTTATACATATCTCGCTTATCATTCTCGTCGTTCAGAGCCAGCTGACACGACTGCATCTCGGAGGCAATGCTGTTCAGGAACATATTGAGCTCCGAGTGACTGAACAAGAGCTTCCGGAATCTGTAGGGCTGTTCCGGTGAAACCTCACAGCAAAGGATTATTGGTTTGTCATTACTGCGGATGAGAGCTGTTGTTGATGTTGGATGGAGCTGCAAATTTGGTCTATTAACAATCTGTATAGTTGTAAAATAAAAATTCAATAATAACAAAAATATATTTGGCTTGTATAATATTATTACTATTTAAAAAAATGGTTGAAGACAACATTTTTGTCAGTGGAGAAAGGAGATATTAATATAATTTCCATTGAATTTTTATCCAGGGATATATGGATCTTTTCTATAAGTCTATTAAATTCAATTAAGTTGAAAACATTTTCACTATATGAAAGCATACTTTTGTAATATACATTTTCAACTTACATTTGTTAATATTTGATTTTCACCATTAATTGTGAAAAACTTCAAGTTTACATTTTGTTCCACAGGTTCAGCTGAAAATTTTGTACAATTATAATATATGAACACAATCCTTACACAAATTTATCTATTTTAATAAAAACATATTTTAAGCCTTTGTATGCTAAATAAATGTAAATAGAATGCAGATGAACTAATATTATTAAATTTGAATAAATTTTGGTTATATTTCAAGTAAATTTAAAAAAAAAGCACTTGTAGTCTATTCTTCAAATCAATAGAAATAATATTTTATGGCATATTATATTGTTCTCTGATATGGTTGATGAAAAATGATTACCTAAGCTTATACTTTTATCCTGTTGTGGTTTATCAATAACCCCAATTTCAATAATAATAGGCTGTGTGAAATCAATATCAAAGGAAGGAGCCTCCATTGCATCTAGGGCATTTATTATTGCATCCTCAGAAACTTGGAGACCGCTTTCATTTGATGAATCCTCTTTGTCTGGAGATATAGACTCTTCTGAAATTGTATAAACAGTTATCTTATAATAACTTACTGCACTAGAAACCTTTTAGAGTATTCATGTGGCACACCAAAGAAATAACATATTTATATGTATTAAACTTTGAAAGTTAATTATTATAAATCAGTGAAAAGTTTTATTTACCATTATAATCCCTAGGTTTAGTGAGTAAATGTCTTAAGTGTTTTCCAATCTTTGATATAGCTTCTTTTATCCTTTTTTGATTCATCTCGAGTGCGCCTAATTTCTGAGTCAGAGCAATTCTTCTATCTGGTACAACAGCCATTAGATTAAATCTGTAATTTTTAATATTACATACTTTATTACATAGGTTATTCAGCTTTCTATAGCCTTCAAATTAATACAGCTTATAAGTCTCCAGCAACATAGCATTGCAACTTTAAACACATAAAGCACCACTGAGTCAGGTAAGTTTATTATTGTTATATAATCAAATATTAATTTTTCACCTTATATCATGAACTTGTTCACCAGCATCTCGCCCCAGTCTTTCAACCATCACTCGTCTAAATTTCTCTGTCCAGTCCTCATCAGCCGCCCACGGTCCATGATCCATTGGGTATGGTTTTAGGCCGTCAAGCTCAAACAAATGGCCATTTATTGGTACAAAGCTTACAAAATGGTAAGCTTCTCCTTTAATTAAAAGAAGAAAATAAAGATCTTTAGATAAACTAAAAACTTATAGTTGCAATTGTACATCTTACTTTAAGACCTTATAGGACACAATTATATAGCTAATAACACCAGCACCAAGCACAACAGAGTTTTATTTTATTCATATTAATTTACCTGTAAATCTTCCTGTTGAAACTCCAGCACTTTTATCAGTTTTCTTACGTGCCAATGGAATGGCATGAGAATTGTGAGCACATGCTAGTTCTGGAGTGTTTCCTATTGCCCAACCCTTGTTTTCTGGGTTCATGCCTATGGTGTGGTGCTTGTAAAACAAAATGATATTGTATAGAGATTGCATGAGATAATAAAAAATACTTAAAATTACTGTTTCCTCAATAAGAAGCTAATAAGAAAACTTGTTTGGTAAATAAATGAAAAGTTTAGTATATTTCATGTATTTGCCTACCTTTAATCTACTCAAAGTTTCTCCTAAATGTAAGTTTGGACAGTTTAATAATATAGACAAGAGAGCATGTGATGCACAACTGTTGGGAACCATTTGTTGAGCAAAGAATATGTTATTAATGGTTTCTTCATCGCGAACAAAGCTTTCAATTTGTTCCACAAATTTTCGCCGAGATCGACGTTCCTCTATCCATCGGAACAGGAATATAAATCCATATACAGGACTTTCCAAGGGTTTGTGTAAATCATAAATTTCTTCAACTTGTACTCCTTTAACACCAAAATCCTCTAGTAACAATGTAAATAAGCCAGGATCACTTTCTAGCTCCAACCATCCTTCCGTAAGGCTGTTCAACTCTACCGGCATTTTTGTAAAGTACTACTATTGCTCATTAATATGTATAACTTCACAAGTAATTATTATTAGCTACTTATATCTAATCGTTTATACTTTTAGTTTTGCTCAATTAATACCTAATATATCTAGCCTTCAAATTGTACTTATATCTTAAAAATAAATATGAACCTTTAGTTCTTGTTCTTAGATAGAAATTGGGAATAAATAATAATGGATCACACTGTCACACAGACTAACTACTAAGACTTATTAGAAATTATGACATATGACAATCGAATCTAACCTCTTTGACAGTTCTGTGTTAACACGGAACTAATTCGGTTTCGGTAATCGGTTATACTAAACAGTTATCTCGATATGAGTAACAGTACTAAGGGAAGTTGTAGCTGTACGTTGTGTAAAAATGATTACCCCGTATTCTATACTAAAAAATGCTTTTGATTTAATTTAAATGCAGCTTTATTAGCTATCCATAAAATGGGCAAATCTCTAAGCTTCGTAATAAAGCCGAATAGTCTTATTAGCCACACAGACTCTCTGGATGCTTTACTAGCACTTAGCAGCCGCAATTTCCGCCTCTGTGGTGGACTAGACTATCAAATATGCCAGAGCACCAATTCCATTCCTGTAATTTTGAAGTATAAAACTATCCCTCTTTACAACAATAAGCGAAACTTCTACTTTGATAATGATAGGTCGGTTTTTCACTAAAGTCGTAATAAAATTATTGAATCTACTAGGATGTCCTAAAACTACCATTTACTATACTGTAAATGTCTACTTCTTCGTCAAAAACAGATTCATACAAGAGGACATATGGATATTAGGTACAGATGGTTGGACTAGAAAGAATGAAAGTGGAATCACTGCAAGATAGCGATCAAGAGAAATATCCATGTGACATGGAGCAAGCTTTAAATATTTGAGGTCGAAAAAGTAGGTATAGGTGAAATTAAAAAATGACTTAGTCTCAACGGCTACTAAGTTATGTGGAGACGCTAAGACGTGTAAGATAATTGGTGGAAGGAATGCATACCTAGATGGATGACGAAGCAAGAAAGGCAGTAAGTGAGAAGAAGAAAGCATGGTTATCATAAGCATAGGTGTATGGAAGTGGAGGATGTCAAAAGAAACTATAAAGGCTATGTCCGCATAGGCAGGAGATTTGCTTAGCGCCTAGCGCCTAGCGAGTCACCAAGCGAGTAGCTTAGTAAAACGAACGTTCTAAAATCTTCGCGACCGGCCGCATTGCGCGCTTGCCGCTTGGCGCCTAGCTAGTCGCTTAGCGTGTATCGAAGGAAACAAACGTGTTGGTTTTTTATCGCTAGGCGCGAAGCATTTTCGTGATGGATGAAATGTTAATTTCAACAGTTTTTTAAAGGGAACCTCTGTGGAATCTCTCTAATCAACTCCATAAAAATGCAGTCGTTTTAAAGAAGCTATGGGAAGAGGTAGCAGTCGAAGTAGAAAAAGACGGTAATACTAAAAAGTGATTTATTTGTTTATGGACAGATAATATTTTTTTTCATCTGAAGTAAATGTTAACGAATGATATTAGGTATGGCGTTGGATTATGTTTTCAGGCAATGAGTTGTTCTGCCACGTAACAAATCGAATTCCGTTGAAATAATTCAACAAAATGTCTCTTGTTTGTAATGCACTATTTGAAAATCTTGACTTGACCGTAACTTATGTCATGGATCCAACATGATGGAGAAGGTCGTGAAGTTGTATATTTTAAAGAACAATTTTCTGTAAGTAGCAGTTTCAGAGCTATTTTTGAAAGTGACATGTCGCTAACGTGCCGACAAACAAATAACCAACGCACCTAGCGAGCCACTACGCAAGACACAGTCCGGCCACCGTAGCCACCTAGCAAGTAGCCAGACGGCAAGCCCCTATAGGCGCTAGGCGCTAAGCAAACCTCCTGCCTGTATGGAAGTGGAGGATGTCAAAAGAAACTATAAAAAACAGAATTACTAAGGAGGTCATAGACTGGAAGAAAAATGAGGTCTATAGTAGATGCCATGACTTCAGAAGCAATATAAAGTTTGTCTGGAATTCTAAAGCAAATACAGCCGAAATTGTCAGAATTCGTGACTAAGGCGGAATAATAATTATGAATGGTGATAGCATGGTAGATCGCACAGTGTAACGAGTAATGACAACGACCATAGACTTTTTTTTTTAACCTCGCTTCATCTCTAAAATGGTCATAAGTGGGACAAGATGTCCCAATTAAAATATACATAAAGGAACGTAGGTGTCCCCAGATGGTACAATAACTAACCAAATCGATCATATTCTCAATTCTCATTAACGGATGCCACATTTCCAACCTCGCCAATTTTAAGACTTGTAGAGGAGCAAACGTGGACTACGATCAGATGTCATGGCCAAGGTAAGGGACAGGATCTCCATCGATAAAACACAAAGCCGACACACTGCACAAATTTAATACGTAAGCACAGAAAGACGACGCGCTGAAAGAGCTCTATTCGAGCAAACTGGAAGATATACTTCTTACAGTCAACATACAACATACCTGTCCAACAGAAATCTGGCGACAGTGCAGTGAAGTAATTCGAACCGCAGCCTCTGAAACAATCAGTATGACAAAGGGGGAAAGAAGGAAGAATTGGTTCGACGCAGAGTGCTGCGACTGAACATAAACTGACGCATATCTTAAGGCGATCCAGAGGACTTAGGCTGTATGTTAACTTTGGATGGAAAGTATGACAATGATATAGAAATACGAGTGAATGCTGTGAATATAGTAAATAGAGCCAAGAAATCTTAAACGAGGCTCGACTGGCCGTTCATAGGGAAGTGCTTATCAAAACGTTATCATTCGGTGGTGAATGTTGTGTGTGGCAGATGAATAATGAAAGTAGAATAAATGAGGGCGTGTGCGTTGCGTGGTTAAAAGAGGACGTAATGAAAAGGATACGAAAGGGTGTTTTGGCTATGAGGAATGCATGAATGAAAAGGGTTAGCAAGTAGGATATACAAGGCAACTGTGGATGGTGAAATCGGGTTGGGTAGGCCTGTTCGTACATACCTAGACAAATTCAAAGTACCTACGCATAACCGACGAGCATGCATGGTGATAAAAGTACATGAAGCGAGAGGGGTATGTGATGACCTTAGCAAGTGGAAATCCGTGGTCTCTGCCTCCCCTTTCGGGAAAAATGCGTGATGATATAAATAAACATCTGCAGGTGTATGGGATAAGGAAATAAAATTAAAAACTTGATTTGTACTTTCTGAACAACATTTATTTTGTATGTACACTCAAATTTCGTATAATGTACAAATAATAAATGCACAACTTCAGCATTGAAACATTTCTTAGAGAAACCGGGTAGGTACACTAAAAATTAATTTTATCAAGCCGTAATAAAAGTAGGTGTAAATAGTATTGGTCCCAATCTAAATTCTTTAATCGCTACTTTACAATAGTTATGGCAATGTGTCTTTTGTAAATAGGAAATTATTATATACAAGACATAAAAAGCATTAAAATGAATACGCTAAAACTTAGGAATTCGAATCACACATCTTTGGCTATTTGACATTAAACCAACTGCCGTCGGCGGAATATTCAGCAAACAGATAAAGCACAAACTCCGAGGTACCATTTATTTGATAAGACAAACAGAAAAATAGGCAGATAACAGTAGTAAATTACATATAAAGAATTATTGCAATAAATGACAGAATATTATCATATCAAAGTTATAGAAAATAGTGCACAGTCGATAAATGCATTAACTGCGCACCTGCGAACATGATATTATAAAACGTTATTACTTTCGGTATTACTAAAATAATAAAATCGATATGAACAATTTTAAGCAAATAGGTGATTTTGAGTTGTGCAATGAAAACCTGTACAAATACAATTATGCTTGTGATCACGTTAATTGTTTTATTATAGTCGTTAATTGAAGACTAGAATCGAAATTAAAGTGAACAATTTCTTTAGTCTACGCTTATTTCTAATGATTATGTTTATTGCTTTCATTTAAACAATATTCGCTTATAGATAAAGTCAACATTTCGTTTATTTCTCTATTTATAAAAAACGATTGCAAACAAACTGTTGAAAATAGTCAAATTATACAACTATTAACATATCACAAGTGAATTTTGAAGATTCCCGTGGCGAATTCGAAATCGCAAATATAGCAATCTTTTATGGATTATACAATACTGTTATCGAAAGATTGGTAACGCTTTTCTATGAATAATATTGCATTTAAATGTAATTTAGCACATTTCGAATTCGTGTAGAGTTACCCTGCCTCGTTTTGCCTAGTCAAGATTACGTCGTCGGTGATACGTACGTGTTTTTTGTGTTAATCACATTTACACAATTTCGTCAAATTCTTCAGTACCACGTTCTTATTGAGCAAATTAGTTATTAATTTAGTGCCAAATTGTATTATTTAAAATTACGATTGAAAACCTTCTAATAGACTTCCTCGTGATATCATACGATGTCCGAATATCAGGTAAAATTTCTTAAAAGGTTTTCATTCGTAGATACATTAGATAAATTGTTGTGGGAGGCGCTAAGACATGGCACATTTGTAATGGTCGGTATCTTTAGTCCGTTAGTTATAAAATCGACGGTGAACCGAGGGTTAGGCAAGAATAGTCACGGACAGCGCAATGCCTGAGTCTAAGGAGGTACACTGTCACACGTAACAATTACTGGAAACCGTACCAACGAAATTTCATTATACAAAAAATAAATACAAATTTCTTAGTAGGTAAATATCCTAATATTATATACAGCAGGTAGGTAAATTAAGTTAATAACCATTAACGAATATCACATAAGTACGCATCAATCTCAACATTAAACGTGGATTCGTATAATAAAATAAACCGCAACGTTTCAACTATTCGCCGCTTAAACGCCGCGACTCATATGTACAGCTCACAAACAGCAGTGGATTTAACTTATGCGCCTTTCATCTGATGGCTGGCGGGGGGTTCGGAGCCCTATAGGGGGGCGGGGGCGTCTTGGGGACCTGGCCGTGTGTCAGCGGTACCCCCGCGGGGGCGACAGGGTAGTGTACCTCATCCAGTTGGCCAGGAATGACAGGGGCCTCCGGGGCCGGGCGGTAGGGCTCCACGCGACTGCTGCTCGCCGGGAGCAACCGCGCCGGGTTAAGTTTGATAGCGTCGTCGTAAGTGGGCGGGGCCCCGGCGACCGTGTCGTAATCTGGTGGTTTCTGCTGCATCGTCTCCTCATCCGGCATCGATATCACATGGATTGGGTCGTCAATCTGTAATTGTGGTGAAATTTTTATCTCTTTGTTATATGAATGATTATTTCATTAAGGGATTTCCCTTTTTCCGAAACAAATTTTTTTAAATCCCTATTTATTATTTTAATATACATCTAATTATTGTTTTTTAAGTATTATTATTTTTTTTTTTTTCCTTCAATTTTTATAATAATATAATTTTTTTAATTAATTATTTTTATTACTATTCTTGGTCCTTCGCACAAATTTCATATATAACCTAACCTAAATCTAAATAATATTAGTTTTAATATTTTAATTGTTTATTCACTCGAATCGTTTTTCGCCTTCGGCACAAATATTATATACTAACCTAACCTAAATTAAATAATATTTGTTTTTTGGACAGCTTCGATCTAAATAATAATTGTTTATTCAGCCCTCAACTCTTTTGTCGCCTTGGCACCAAATATTCATATACTAACCTAACCTAACCATCTAAATAATATTAGTTTTTTGGACAGCTCGATCTAAATAATAATTGTTTATTCAGCCCCTCGGAACCGGCCTTCGGGACAATATTCATATATAACCTAACCTAAGATTAAATAATATTTGTTTTTTTGGACAGCTTCGATCTAAATAATAATTGTTTATTCAGCCCTCAATTTGGTCGCCTTCGGCGACAAATTTATATACTAACCTAACCTAACATCTAAATAATACTAGTTTTTTGGACAGCTCGCCGAAATCAGCCCCTCACCTTGGTACCAAAGCACAGGCAGTTTAGGCAGTGCTTTGTTTGTTTCCTCGCGTATTTTTATTACATCTAGGGGTAGGAGAAGCACGTGATAGTGGGGTGTTATTCGGTTTTGGGTACTTTTTGAATAATTTAAAATTTTTCGGAACATACACTAATTGAAAATGAAGTTAATGTAATGTATGTAATTGACAAGTAATATTAAATTAGGTTCAACTATAAAATAAATGAGAAAATTCATTTATTTACGAGAATGTCACATCACTTTACAACAAAACAGAATGACACATCACTTATAACCAATAGAAAAGTAGATAATGGTGGATTGTTTACAAATTTCAATACATTTCACAAAACTTTAAAATTTTTTTAAAAATACTTGACGCATTTCCGGCACTAAAATTACTGGAGGTGTTCAATCAAGGTCCCAATTCTTTCATAATTCAAATTTATCACCACCCTATTGTCTGGAGATAACGTTATCACTTGTCAAGAATTCTTTAATGCGTTAAGTCAAGATAATATTACAATCATTGTTTACATATTTCTTTTCAAGATCACCTAGTAGTAGGTACCTATTCAGTTAAAAATCATTTGAATACTACAATTTCGTATGGAGCATAAGTGCGGCAGAGGCGGCAACGTGTACTCACTTGATGGGTATCAGGCGAAGCGCGGTCGTTCTGTGGTTGCCGGGCGGGGGACTGCAGCCAGCAGCACATGGCAGCGCAGATGAGCAGAGCTCCCGCGACGATGCAGGCCACGCCCACATAGCGCACCGGCTCAGCGTAGTCTTCGGCCAATCCCAACCAATTGATCAGGGCCCCCGCGCACAGCAAAACCATGCCATATCGGTACGGGCGTTGTGACTGTCTTCCTTCGTCTAGGGACATCCCTGGAAATGGTCAACGGTCAAATGAGTACCGATTATTTCATACTTAGAATTTTCTACATGTAAAGCACGGCGCGGTTGTGATGTAATACTTTGGTCACATGTGAAAATTGTTTAGTACATCAGACACGGCTAAAACTATACTAGTGACGCCTATGATGGCTTATGCATAAGCTTATGTCATAAGTCATAGCTCATAACAATAACAAGCATAGACTTGACAAGATTATAAAGAATCCGTATAAAAAAAGCCGATTAAATAAATTTACCATAACCATTAACTATGTCAATATATGTAGGTACTTAAAATTCTAACGCTAATAAATAAACCTTATCGAAATGATTATTTCGCGCATTTTCTGTAACCCGGTTTACTAATAGAAATTAGTTTAGTGGAACAAGTGAATAAACTAACATTAAAGCCAAGAAAATGTTTGTCATGTTTCTCGTTACCGTGTTAAGTTTCGTTGTAACGGCACTATCATTTTATACTTCAAACTGATCCAAGTCGAAAGTAGAGAAAGTTAAAACGCCGTGAGGATTTAAGAATTGATTTAGCGAACGCGGCTTTTATGAAAATATAATGGGAAGGATATTTAAAATCGCTTTAGAGTTACGAGGTCAGGTGCAGACAATGGATTCTCAGGAGATGTAGGTCAAGTTTGAAGTGTGTCTCTTCACGCATAACCGCAAATTGTATAAATAAAACAAAATATGGCTATGAATAGATGATTTAAATTTTTTTATAATAATATAATTCGCTAATTTCGCGGTATTTTACTGTGGGGTGCTGCTGCAGAGGTTCAATCCATATTTGTGCTGCAGAAGCGGACTGTTCGGGGTATTTGTTGTGATTCCCCAAGGGTCTCGGTATGGAATAAGTTTAAGGAATTAAATATTATGACACTATCTGGTAAATATAGTATTCGTTTTTACAACAAACTCCCAAGCGAAATTAGAGAATTATCACTGAATAAATTCAAAACTTTCGTTAAACGTAAATTTATAAATTTGACGATTGTCTAAATGATCCTAATTCTTGGGATTGATTTGGTCCAGTTCAAACCATTTGTATGACTCAAAACTTGATGATTAAAAAGAGTGGAGGGAGTTTCTGCCAGTTCTTACCCGCTCTACTTCCTTGACTTGAGAACTGGTAGTAAATGTAAATTTCGAATCAATTTAACAATACATATTTAATATAGTATTTGACGTTCATAAGTTTACTTGGTTACCTATTAGTACCCTTATTTTTAGTTTGAGTTTGACATATCTGTCCCAACGGACTAAAAGGCTTTAGAATAAATAGAGAGAACCTATATGAATATAAGACAAACAAAGCAGAATTATTGTTATTACAAAATAATATGTTTAAGCGAGAACGCGTGAGCGAAAAAATATCTACAAAATGATTATATTATTTATTAAATCAGGGATGAAAAAAAAAACTTACGATAATCCATTCTCGACCTGTATGCGTCTTCAAACCCTATTAGTGATAATGTCCACGCCATTTCTTTTTTCTTAATTTTTCTCCGATTCTTTTAATATACGTCTCAAATGGTCAACAATAAGAAAGATACAGAAATATTTTATCATATGACAAAATCAGAAGATAAAGATGGATTTTTAAAATGACAGATGACGATTGAGAAAAATTATCTCTATTGTCACTTACAATTCCTTCGAGAAGCTAAATATAACTCTAGATATAACAAAAATAGCGTCAGCGTATTTCATAAGCACTTCATAATACTTATGAGATAACCGATTAGGATAAGAAAACAACAATTAAAACAAACCTGTATGACGATCATATTGATGCATCGATTAGATAAGCCACAAGTGCCGGGAACAAAGCAATTATTTACAAATACTGTATTATATCACTTATTCACCATAATAATGCTACGGACTTGAGTCATGGTGGTTGACTAAATTAGTATATGCTTGGTAACTTTGCAAGTGGCACTTCTAAGTCATCCCCTGCCCACGTATCGGAGGCACTCCGCACTCATGACGTGCTTGAGGGGCTTCCTTGTCAACCAGTAACATTCTGTTTTGCTAACGCGATAATATTCGGTAACTGGATTAACCTACAACGTAAAGTGGCGTTATAACTATATATAGTAAATCTTGTTTAAATATTCCATAAAATATGCATGTTGGCTGGAGACGGCAGAAGTGTTCCAGCAAGCATCAAAGACCAACGTTTTATTCCAATTGTTATTAAGCCCTCCGGTAGGGCTGTTATCCATTATACGTTGTACATGAGCATAATCAAGGTAGTTTTAGTCAGAATTGTTTAGTTTTTTTAATTAGAATCAGGTAGAATAATTTTGATTTATTATATACCTACAAGCGTTGTTAAAAAATACATTAGACAAGTTTAAATTTGGAAATAGTAACTAAACTTAAATTATTTTTATATTGTCATCCAATTAATAATAAAAAAATAAATTACGAATATATTAGTCGGTTGAGAACAGTCTTTTGCAGTACACGGTATCTACAACCTCCTCTTCCAACACCAAAGGTCAAATACCTATATTTATTTCGGTCCGTTGCACGAATAGACAACAACTCTGATCCGTACGAAAATATAGAAAATACTAAAGTTTTGACGAGTTTGTTCTTCGAATATTCGACACGATTCTGATTTGCCATATTCTGGTAAATTTTCTCATTTCTGCTGTTGCCATCTATGCTTGCCTACGTATTTCCGAGTCACCTCTCCTCTGGTTGTCTGGTTTTAAATGTCGCAATTATATATTACTGTACAATCACAATCACAAAAACACCTGTTTCTACCTATACCTTCTGAATTTATAGGAAGCAGTGGAATTCCACTACTATTGATTAAATCCCGCAAATATCTAACATATGCCGCAGTTTGACATACATTCATAATATAATGTAAGTGCATCTAATATATAAAATGTAGATAGATAAATTCTAATCATAGACATTGGGGATAATTCTGATATAGTCAAAACACTCACATTTTAGTAAAAGTAAATCGGGCATAATTCCGTAAATATAATAATATTATGTATATATATATGGATTATATGTAGTTATTCTGGATATATATCATTCGAGATATAATAGATACTACAACTCTGTAAATAAATAGTACCAAGAAAGAATCGTTGTCTAGACTAGTATATGAAACAAATAAAAGAATGAATTCAGTTCATTAGGATATTCATGTGCGTAATATTTGAGATTTGCTTTATAGCAACATTATTTATAAAACAATACAATACAAGACATAGTACGCATCTAAAACATACAAACAATTGATCCTCTTATTAAAATTCATTTAAAGAACAAAATCTGAATGCGTACTTTATAATGCATGATGACCAAAAGTTCTTTATGCCCACGTACCCTGCGCCACCTATCGGTAAAGATAAACACAAAGCTTATTGAGAGCTGCAAACAAAAAAAAATGGTTTTCGCCAGAATTATTGTTAAATCCAGTTTCGTTTGATGAAGTCACGGCTACAAAATTCAATTTCAAGTAGTTATCACCAGCTAGATGTTTATTGGGTATCCCTTATTTCCAATAGAAACAATTAAAAGTTCATCGGCATGTGACGTTCGAGCCAGGATGCGGGTTTCCTGTTCCTCTAACATATGTCTCACAGGGCATGGTGTCAACTGTTATTACCCCATATAAAAGAAGCTAAAAATTGCCTTTAAAATTCCTTCTCGAATACCTCTGGTTTTTCGCTAAACGCATAAGTTGTGTTCCTTAATCAAACAATTAGAGTGGATTTCTAAACTTTATATCTGGAGACTGCTTGGTCCAATTAAGTACAATAAAAGATCTGCCAATTAGGAGAGCGGTGGCCTACTTGATGCAGATACGGCCATTTGATGAGAACAATGGTTCTTGCACAAATTAGTTATGGTGTGAACAACAACGTTGGGGAAGTGAACCGGTGTTACCGGTCTGTTGTTCCCGCCATGCTCACCGCCATGACCGCTTTGAATATTCTTTTATTCTACGAATCTATGTTTAAAAAAATAGCAAGTTCAGAGCCACACCAAATAGAAGTCTGTCCATATAACAACAGCTATAGTATGAGTACAATATATAAAAGAGAATATGACGATAACATTATTAAAATATTCCTTAGATTAATATAATAATAAATTGACCTTTAAAATTTGTATTAACATATGAAATCTACATTTAAATCGATCGAATGATAAGTTGCATCCGTTGCAAAAACGTTAAGCATTTATAATACCTTTACTCAAAGCTACTATTATTTAGAGACTTAAACTATGATAAAAATAACTAGACTTAATAATGATGTAAAAGTAGCAATAGCAAAGACTACAAACTTCATCTAGAATCTAGAATGAATGGTTTGATAGCTCATGAAAAAACATTCATTGTTTTTTTCGTTTCTGTTCTTGAATAACAAGCGATACACACAAACAATGTTATTAATAGTCAAATATATGACTACTACAAATGAATTCAAGCATACCGGTTTAGCACCTATCCGGATATAATTTTAGCATAGCGTGTGGATTTTTATTATGTATAAACATGAGATTTTCCTCAAAGCTATTTCGAATATAAAGCACATGTGTGTGCGTTGATTTAAATGCAATTAACAACTGATTATTGGGGCATATTCGTACCTGTTGAATATTATAAAAGTGGTGCAATCTCTGTCCTCCCGATTCATCGGATCAGTTGACAGTCATTGACCCGACTGTTGTACAGACATGGAAAAAAATCAATTTTAAACTTTTTGCCACATTACATTTTGAATTGGTCTAAATATACCAGATTGTGCAATATCACGCAACAAAGTCGAGTGAAACTGGTTGATTTAAAGGAACTATTTATTATCGTACTCCGTAATTGCAGTAAACAAGTATAAAAACAATGCGACAAAAACGAATAAACAATTTACTTAAAATAGTGGTAGTTAAACTGTCTTTTTATTAAAGGTTAATTAATTTTTATATAAA